AGTGCGTGATCTTTCCCATTGATACCATAAAATTTAAGCTTAAATAACAAAATTTCATGATCAACACAATCAAAAGCTTTTTCCAAATCACAGAAGATGCCTCCCACTATTTGTTTGTTATTCATGGCATTTAAAATCTCTGTAGTCAATTTATAGATTGCATTATCTGTTTTTAATCCTTTCCTAAATCCATATTGTTCAGTACTTAAAATATTGTATTTATTGAGATGATCCAAAATTCTTGAGTACATTATAGTTTCAAATATTTTTGAAAAAGATGTTAAAAGTGATATAGGTCTATAATTAGACACATCATATATATCACCATTCTTATATAATGGTTTTATTAATGCATATTTTAATCTATCCGGAAATACTCCTCTCCTTAACATTTTATTGCATATATAATTTATAGGTGAACTTATAAATGACGAGCTTATTTTTAAAATCATAGGTGGTATCTCATCATATCCATGCGAATTTTTTAGTTTAAGGGATTTTATTATTTTTTTTATTTCTTTGTTCGTACAACATTTGGAATTCATATTTGGGTATGGATTAGAAAAAGCTTGGTTCATGAAATGAATATAATTTTCATCATCATTAATATCATTTGCAATTACGGGATTATTAATATCTTGTAGTTTTATTTTCTCTGCAATGTTAACAAAATAATTATTAAATTTTTCAGCAATAGTTTGTTGGTTATTGAACTTCTTACCATCAATTTTTAGTGTTTTTATTTCAACTCTATTTGTATTTCTACCTGCTTCTTTATTTATAATACCCCAAGTAGTTTTAATTTTATTATCAGAATTTAGAATGCATTTATCATACTCCATTCTTTTTGCCTCTTTTATAACTGTGGTCAATATTTTAGAGTAATTTCTGTAATAAGTTTTAAGAGTAGGATCCTTATTATTCCTTAATTTATTACAAAGTTCTCGTTTATGTTTACAGGACATTAATATTCCTGGTGTAATCCAAGAATTATTTTTCTGTTTACATTTTATCTGTGTCAAAGGGAAGCTGGAATAGTAAATTTTTAAGAAAATATTTAAAAATGTGTTAAAACTATTATTAATATCATTTTCATCAAAAACTAATTCCCATGTTTCCTGACTTAGTTTTAATTGAAAATCTGTTATAGTATCGTTATTTATTAACCGTTTTATATAAGTATGATATCCTTTTCCCTGTTCCTGTGCCTTATGAAGTATTAATACTTGGGCATCATGATCTGATAGACCATTTATAGAGGGGTATATCTCATATTTTCCAATACTGTTTATATCAATGAAAAAATTATCAATTACAGTGCATGAGGAGATGCCAACTCTAGTGGGGAATGTTACAATACTAGTAAGATTATATGATTGTAGGACAGCATCAAGTTGCTTCTTTCTGTTATCATCATTTAAATAATTTACATTTATATCACCACATATAATTATATTGTATCTCTCATGATATAATTTCTGTAGAATCATATCTAATCTTTCCAGGAAATTTGTAAAATTACCCATAGGAGATCTGTAAATAGTTAGTATACAATTTTTTTTTGTTCCTGGTAAGTTCTTAGTCAGCTGAATTGCACACGCTTCGATGTCCTTGTCTACAGTAAATTCTTCTAAATTTATGGTCTTAAATTTTAAATTTCTATATACAAATATACTTACACCTCCTTTTTGAAAAAAATTCCTACAATATTTAGCACCTAATGAGTAGTCATTTAAATGTATCAGTTGGAGTTCTGAATCTAATATAATGAATTTAATATAAATAAAATTAGAAAAATGAACTGTATTAAAATAAATTAAATCTGCCTTCATTTACGTACATCAAAGTCCAAAACAAATTGGGTCTCCCAAATTATGTTATAAATAATAGCAAAATATTTTTTTTTCACTTTTTGACTTGCTGGTTTAAAAATCGGCATTATTCTGAATCGGCGTAAATCGAGGGCTACCTGTACGTACAGTGAAGTTGAAGCTTCAGGCAGTCCTCAAATAATAGAGGTGAAATAAAATGCAAGTTTGTTATACTGCAAAAAATGTCAATTTGCATATCTCATTTACTCAGGCTAGACAGATCACACACACTTGTCAGTTACAACAAAGATGTACTGACACATGGTAAATAATATACTCAAAATTCAGCATGGAACTTCGTAGGATTACAGAATGTGGTCTTGAATGTCGAAAATAAGTACCAGCACCAAAGTTTCCAGATGAGAACCAGCACTGTACACAAAGTCCTTGCCCACTTAGTATCACTGCTTCCCACACCATCACATCTATGATCTTATAATTACACTTGTGGACAAAGACAGACCCAGCTTTTAAAATATTATGTTCTTTTATAGTATCAGATGATAGACAAAATTAAGAATCTTAGTAATTCAGACAGTATAATTTAGTCCCCCCTCCAGTACTTTCTAAAAATATATCAGAACTTTTCAGACATTCTGTATACACCACACATCAGTAATGACACAGTAATTGACATGCTCTCTGAGAATGAGTAACCTCAAAGAAGCCTTATAAAATTCAAAAGGAACACTCAGATACTGCAATAAGCTTTTCAGAGTTTTCTGAACAAAGTGCAATGTTCTACCTGGTGTTCACAGCACACGCATCACGTGTGCACAGTTCATCAGAACATGAAATTTATGATGCAGGTAAATACACAGAAAATACAAAATATGTGTGTGAAAATGAGAAATGTATGTGTGGTGCATGCACTTCATGTTCTTCATGCACAGTCAACTTCATGATATGACAGTAGAGTACAAACAGGGGATAATGGACAGCAACAATTGTGACTGTAACAAAGTAGCTTGGTGAACAAATTGAAAATCTTGTATCTAAGATACTTGAAGTGACTCTTCATCATTATACTGCCAAACAACAGGCCAGATAATTGAGAGAGTTAAAAAAATACTACAATCAGACCAATGCATAATTTTGGCAAACTTTTCAGAGAATTTTTCATTTATACTCCAAGATGCTGTACAGGGTTTTCATTGGGCAAATAATCAAGCAATTTTTCACCCTTCCAATATTAATATCAGAGCACAGCACCTGCAAATTTTGTCTTTCTGTGTAATAGTAACTGCTCTGATCAAAACACACAATAATTTTTTGCATTTCAAAGGACATTAGTACAATATCTACGTATTAAATTTCCTAAACTAAAGAGGATTGTGTATTTTAGTGAAGATACTGCAGTTCGGTAAAAGAACAGAAGAAAATTTATCATCAGCTACCATGAACAAGACTTTCATCTTTCTGCTGAATGGCAGAGAAAAGTCTGGCTGCAAAGACAAGTCTACAGAAAGTGATCAATAATAAAATACAAACATTTCATAAACTATTCAATCACTACAGCAGCAACATACATAACATTACATTCTTTTATGTCCAAGAAGAACAAATTATTAACTATAAGGAAGCTGAAAACTGATTTGACATTAAAGTTGCAATATCAGGAACTTAAGCTTGTTACTGTTTCAAGCTAATGAACTCCAGGGCTATCACTACAGCTGTTACTTCTCTGTCCACATCCTTCACAAGACATCAAATAAAAAAACTCAAGTCAAACAAACAGCATAGACAAAGTATCTCAAATGATTATGATCTCTTTATATGATGGCCAGTGGTGTCTGGGTATTGTTCAAGAAAGAAGAGACCAGAAGTTTTACATAATATTCATACAGCTTCACAGATCACATTCTAATTTATTTTGGCCTTAGAGAGATGACTACTGCTAAACTGAGGATAACAATATTCAGCTTGTCACACACACACACCTAGCACTGAGATAGGTCAAATACACAAAATTTCATAATTATTATCCCAAATTGATAGTAAAAAAAGGAGTAGGTGTTCTCATTAATTAGATATTAACCACGCACATAAATGCACCTGGAGTGGAACATACATACGCTTTAGGTAAGGAGACAGATGTGCTTATATATACATAAAATTTAGAGACAGGGTTATTTCAGAGTACAGTAGGAGTGTAATGCTGAATTTTGAGTACACTGTTTACCATACATCTTTGATACAAATGACGTGTGTGATCTGTCAGACCTGAGTAAACAAAGTATATAAATGGACATTTTTCGCAACATAACAAAATTTAATCTTATTTCGCCTTAATTATCTGAGCACTGCCTGAAGCAGCAATTTCTATTTTAATACTGCTGATAGTCCCCTTTAGGGGGAAATATGTACAGAGTTTCATAAATGTTGTTTTTCTATGATCCAACAATTTAAAATTCATAAACTTCCTCTATTATGGAACAGTTCTGAGATACATGATATCACAGATGCTTATTTTTGGCTACCTCAAGAAAATTATGCAATTTTGATAAGCATAAACTAAAATACATACTGATATTGGCTAACAACAACAATCAAGTAAATATGCCTTAAAACTATTCTGATAGACCTACTACTTTAAGGTAAAATAATGTGAATATAATCAAAAATTACTGAGTAACTGACATATTAACTTTGAGAAAATAGCACATGCAACATTTTTCTGTCATATAAACTTCCCCAAAAACTCATATCTGTAAAATGCTGATACCAGGGAGGCTCAATGCTTGTGCACGACTTCATAAGGAGTCACACATTATGACTGACATACGTCATTAAATTCTGTGAGAATGATGCCACATCTACTCAATGAATTATCATGTAATGACTAGTATTTCATAAATTTAGTTTTCTTATAAGGCTAATAACACTTGCGATCGGAAAGTTTCAAGATTGTGTCAATAGAGGGCGAACCGGATGTAGTACGAGCTTCTGCCGCTAGGGGGTGAGGCCTACATTCATAGTGAATCAGTGTGCCAGCCGGCATCATCGAATTACCATTTGTTTCTTAGTTACGGGCGTTTTGGTAGTGCATTACACCGACCCTCCTGCGATTTCGGAATGGCGTGTGCATCAAATTTTGCCAAAGACTCGCCAAAACCGCTACGGAAACCTATGAAATGCTAAAGCAAGCATTTGGGGAGTCCGCAATGGGTCGTGCACAAACGTTTG